TTTTGAATTTCTAATGGTGGGGTACCTCTTCTAATTTTCTAAGACTAGTCAATAGGAAAGTCTTATGGCTAGACCTAGGCTACTAAAGAAGTTTTCTAGACCTCAACCAAAAATGAGGTCAACAAGAGCGTATGAACAGGGTCATCAATGAACGTGCCAGAAGCATGAGATTGCACGTCAGACTACCACCAACCATCTGTGCAGATGCGGGCAGCATTTTACTTGATCAACAGAGGGTCATCCGTCCCATTAGACTGTAAATTACCTGAGGAGGTCTGGAGCGACAAAGAGGTTTAATTTTCTCATCTTAAGACTTTTGGTTGTCTTTCTTATATTCTAATCAATCCTGATGCATGTAGCAAGCTTGAAACTAAGTCAAAGAAATGTTATTTCATTGGCTATGGAGATGAAACATTTGGCTATCGTTTCTGGGATGATCAAGATCGAAAGATTATCAGAAGCAAAAATATGATCTCCGACGAGAAGATGATGTACAAGGACAAAGCAAGTACAAATTCTGAAGCAGCTCCTTAGGAATCGGAGATCGTAAGATTTGACGATCTACCAGAGGTCATAGTATAGGGCAGAGATGTGAATGACGAGGAGAATGGGTTCGGGGCACCAATTCCTATTATTCCGCAGTCAGGTTCAGAGTCATTCGCTACTCTAGCTATCGTTCGCAGATCACTCAGGAGCAGACATTCGCCACAACGTTACTCACCAACTTTGAACTACATCTTGCTGACAGATAATGAAGAACCCCAGAGCTATGAAGAAACCTTAGCAGGTGAACATTGTAGCAAGTGGGAGTTGGCCATGAAGGAGGAGATAGATTCCCTAGTAGAAAATCAGACATGGGAGCTAACAGAACTTCCACCAGGGAAGAAGGCATTGCATAACAAGTGGGAGTATCGGATAAAAACTGAGCTTGATGGCAGCAAAAGGTACAAGGTCAAACTTATTGTAAAAGGCTTTCAACAGAAGCAGGGCATTGACTATTATGAGATCTTTTCTCCTGTGGTGAAGCTCACAATCATTAGAATGGTACTGGCTATAGTTGCCACCGAAAATTTATTTCTGAAGCAATTAGAAGTGAAGACAACCTTTTTTCATGGAGACCTTGAAGAAGATATCTACATGCGCCAACCTAAGGGGTTCGTGGTACAAGGAAAATAAGATTCAGTTTGCAGACTGAAAAAGAGCTTGTATGGCCTGAAGCAAGCTCCCAGGCAATGGTACAAAAAGTTAGATAATTTCATGCAGAATACATGATACAACATATGTCAGACATATCACTGTTGATATGTCAGGTACTTTGACAATTCTTATATCATCATGTTGTTGTATGTGGATGATATGCTTATTGTAGGGGCCAACATTGATGAGATCAATAATCTGAAGAAGCAGATGTCAGAGAACTTTGGAATGAAGGAGTTGGGGGCGGCAAAACAAATCCTTGGCATGAGGATAGTTAGGGATCGAGTCAAAGGCACGTTGATGCTCTCAAAGATTGAATATGTGAAAAATGTGCTTAGCAAGTTCAATATGGACAAGGCCAAGTCAATTGACACACCTTTAGGCAGTCACTTCGGACTCAGCAAAAATCAGCCTCCCAAGACAGAAGAACAAAACTACATGAGTAAGGTTCCTTACGCTTCAGCTATTGGCTCACTCATGTATGTCATGTTCTGCACCAGACCAGACATTGCCCATGCAATGAGAGTTGTGAGCAGATACATGAGTAATCCAGGAAAAAAACATTAGGAAGTTGTGAAGTGGATCTTGAGATACCTGAGAGGCTCTTCAGAAACCTATTTGTGTTTCTTAAGAAAGAAGTTGGAGATACAGGCCTATGTTGATGCAGATTTAGCTGGAGATATTGACAGTAGAAATAGTACTCCAAATTATGTTTATGCTCTTAGTGGTACTGCAGTGTCATGAGGCTCAAATTTACAGAAGACAGTTCCGCTGTCCACTACAGAAGCTGAGTACATTGCAGTGTCAGAGACTGCTAAGAAGATGATATGGCTGCAGAATTTATTGAAGGAATCGGGTAAGACGGTTTAGAAGGGCACTCTCTACAATGATAGTCAGAGCGTCATATTTCTTGCCAGGAATCCAGCTTTCAATCCAGGACCAAACACATTCAGATCAGGAATCACTTCATTCGATCTTTGTTAGACGACGGACAACTGGGACAACTGCTACTTAAGAAACTGCTACTTAAGAAAATTTGTGGAAGCAAGAACCATGCTGATATGTTGACTAAAGGGATTAATCTTGAGAAACTGAAGTTGTGCTCTACTTCAGTTGGTCTTCTGGTATGAAGAACATCGCTTTAAGTTGCAAATGTGGAGGATATCATGCTTGAGGAAAAGGTCGGTACAGCTAGTAGATGATGCAGCCAGTAGGTGATGCAGTCAATGTCCTAGTCTCCATAGTCTCCAAGTGGGAGATCCAAGTGGGAGAATTGTTGGGTAATGTGAAGACTCGGTCCAACGCAATTTAATTAGCTTCTTAATTAAGAATCTCACATACCGCTCACCTACCTTCCCACCTACCGCTTACCAACCGCTCACCTACTTTCCCACCTACCGCTCACCTACCACATCTCACCTACCTCCCACTTACCGCTCTCCTGATTTCTATAAATAGCCACTTATGGCTTGTCATAAGAGTCAAGTCCTCTAAGAGAGAAAGTGAGAAAGAAAATAGAGATTTTTCTTGTAAACATCGAGGAGCTCGATGATGTAATTCCTCAAAGAAATAAAATTATCTGCAGCTCCGTGGACGTAGTCAAATTTTTCGAACTACGTAAATCTGTGTGTCGCTCTGGTGTTTTTTTTTTTACGTGAAATTTTTCTCGTTCTAATTTTTCGTTTTATTGTCATTGTTTTTCATAACATGTTCTTCCATACCTGATACTTCTTCTAGTTTATCTGCAGAAGCGGTTGCCAGTTTTTTCTATTTCCTCGAAATCACCCATGAGACTTGGAAGATTCTATTGCTGGTTTGCAAACTCTGCAGTGCTCTAATTGAGAAATCAAAGTCATTTATTACAGAGCCACTTCTTCCTAGTAATAGGCAAGTTGGTTCTTTCGATGACTTATTTGAGTCGTTTTTCAGCTTGGGATAACTTCGAGGTGTTATGTGCAAACATTATAAACATTATATTACACAATTGTAATTCACTGCTTTTCATTTTTAGAGTTTCTTTGAGAATTTTGTTTTCAGCTTGGGAGAACTTCGAGGTGTTATGTGCAAATATTATAAACATTATATTACACAATTGTAATTCACTGCTTTTCATTTTTAGAGTTTCTTTGAGAATTTTGTTTTCAGCTTGGGAGAACTTCGAGGTGTTATGTGCAAATATTATAAACATTATATTACACAATTGTAATTCACTGCTTTTCATTTTTAGAGTTTCTTTGAGAATTTTGTTTTCAGCTTGGGAGAACTTCGAGGTGTTATGTGCAAATATTATAAACATTATATTACACAATTGTAATTCACTGCTTTTCATTTTTAGAGTTTCTTTGAGAATTTTGTTTTCAGCTTGGGAGAACTTCGAGGTGTTATGTGCAAATATTATAAACATTATATTACACAATTGTAATTCACTGCTTTTCATTTTTAGAGTTTCTTTGAGAATTTTGTTTTCAGCTTGGGAGAACTTCGAGGTGTTATGTGCAAATATTATAAACATTATATTACACAATTGTAATTCACTGCTTTTCATTTTTAGAGTTTCTTTGAGAATTTTGTTTTCAGCTTGGGAGAACTTCGAGGTGTTATGTGCAAATATTATAAACATTATATTACACAATTGTAATTCACTGCTTTTCATTTTTAGAGTTTCTTTGAGAATTTTGTTTTCAGACGTGAAATTTTTCTCGTTCTAATTTTTCGTTTTATTGTCATTGTTTTTCATAACATGTTCTTCCATACCTGATACTTCTTCTAGTTTATCTTCAGAAGCGGTTGCCAGTTTTTTCTATTTCCTCGAAATCACCCATGAGACTTGGAAGATTCTATTGCTGGTTTGCAAACTCTGCAGTGCTCTAATTGAGAAATCAAAGTCATTTATTACAGAGCCACTTCTTCCTAGTAATAGGCAAGTTGGTTCTTTCGATGACTTATTTGAGTCGTTTTTCAGCTTGGGATAACTTCGAGGTGTTATGTGCAAACATTATAAACATTATATTACACAATTGTAATTCACTGCTTTTCATTTTTAGAGTTTCTTTGAGAATTTTGTTTTCAGCTTGGGAGAACTTCGAGGTGTTATGTGCAAATATTATAAACATTATATTACACAATTGTAATTCACTGCTTTTCATTTTTAGAGTTTCTTTGAGAATTTTGTTTTCATCCCCAATTCCATGAAGTCCAACTACTTCTTTGCTTACTGCATCATGCCCAATCTCTTGTGCAATATCATGAGGGGAGTCAATTGTATGATTTGATTTTCTTCTGGTTTCAGGAGCGAAATTACCAGGCAATTCAACCTCACTTCTCATCCTAGCAATAACAGCAGGACCTGGAAGTCGCTTCTGGATCATGATACGTAATCTACGAAATTTAGATTCCAGCCTATTGATCTTCCTTGCATCTTCCTGGCGCTTCTTCCGAGCAGATTCAGCTGATCTCAGGTTAAACTCTCTCCCTTGATTTCAAAGCACAAGTTCCTTTGGAAGCATAAGGACCTCATAATTAAGAGATTCATCTCTTTTTTCAGAAAAATAAAACCTTTCCATAATTGCTACAAAGTATGCTCTAACTGAGATTTAGATGCCGTAAAATTTTTTATCAAAGATTGTTTTTTTCTACTGATAATTGTTGAAGTTTCTGATTTGCATCTGCTAACCTCTCTTCCAAAACTAGTGTTTCTCTAGCTACTGCAACATATTTACCGAAGCGTCATTAATGATGTGATGTTGTTCATCCTTGGGAGAATGTAACTGCTGAATACAAACTCTTAGAGTAGCATCAATGCTGGCTACTTTTTCTTCAGCAATGGCTTTCCGATACAAAGCATCATCAAGTTCCAGATTGAAGGATATTGTCTGAGCTTCTGCCTTTGCACGTCCCACAATGAGCCTGAAATTATTAATGTTGAGATTTGTACCCTATTTAATTTCATGTTGAGATTTGTACCCTATTTTGAAGAGTCTAATTGTAAATAGGAAATATAGAAGTAGTCTAGAAGTTATTTATAAAAAGTTTGTAAGGCTATATGGAAACTCAACTCATGAATGAAAAGAAGAAGGCTTTTTACCAATATAATCATTTCTTCATGCTATTAGAGCCCTAACATCGCAGTTGATGCTCAATCGGACCTGTACGAGGCGGGATCAGCAATCTGGAGACGAGAGGCTATTTGTGAAGGCCTTGGTGGTTTTGAACAGGGAGCAGAGCGAACCAGAAAAAGAGCCCGTGAAACTAAGTGGAAGGCCTCTAGAACGAGCGAGAACAGTTAGCAGCGAAGGAGAGGACGACATGGAAAGACGGCGTGGAAGGACGGCGGCAAAAGCGAGGGCTTGGGTTCCTGGTCGTGTGTGCACAAGGAAGAACGATGAAGGCTTTGATGGGATTGATAGAATAAGGCAAGGAGGAACGTGTGAGGGCTTTAGTTTCGTCCAAGAGGAAGAAGACTTCAGCAGGCAGGATCAAGTGCGAGGCAGAAAGAAGTGGAGAGTTTAAACGTAGTGGAGAAGGAGACGAGAAGGGGAACAGTGAGCCCGAGTGCTTGGAACAGAAGAGAACGTGAAGATGAGCGGTTTCTAGGCTCACCGAACGGCCTCTCCCCTAAAAATCTCCAGTTTCAACTGCCATATTTCATTTCTCAGCGATGTCTTACAAGGAAGGGGAGCGTATCTTTGTTAGAGGTTTGCATTGGGAAACCACGAAACGAGAGCTCGTTGTTTCGTTTAGCCGATTTGGCAAGGTTTTGGACTTGTATAATATGGTTGAAAGAGATACAGGGAGGTCTCGTGGATTTGGATTTGTGACTTTTGCTTACATACGTGCAATGGAGGATGTTATCAGGAAGATGCACAATAAAGGACTGAATTGTCGACAAATATCAGTCAATAAGGCCAAGCCCAATGTGGGTTCGGATGATTCAGGCTACAGTTATAGTCGTGGTGGCTACTCATCTAGTGGAGCAAATGGAGTAAAATTCTCTTCTCGCTCTAGAACTGATAGAGGTGAAAAAGGAAACTACCGGACAAATCTGATGGTAGCAAAGAACAAGAGAAAGATAAGGGTAGTCTTTACAGATGAGGATCACGAGTTACTAGAGATGTTGAAGAAGCAGATAACGGTAGGTAATGTGACTGATGATGCATCCACCTTATCGTCATCCAAGAAAAACATTGACAGTTATGTCCACTCAGCCAAAGATACTCATGATACACATGCTCTCATCTTTATATCCACCACAAGATCACCCTGGTGCATCTCGACATGTGACAGGTGTCGCTAGTGAGTTTTTATCATATACTAATCTAGCAGTTCCAAAGAGCATTCAGACCGTTGAAGGTATAACACAGCCTATGATTAGTAAGAATACAGTGAGATGTACCAATTCTATGATTTTATCTAATGTTTTGTATGTTTCTTTCCAGTGAACCATTTATCCATTAGTATCATTATACTCCAATTAAAACGTGTTGTTTCATTTGATATTTCAAAGGTGATCTTCCAAACGAAGAAAAATTAGAGGAATAATTACGCAATGCTTCAGCATAGCTACGCTACCTAGCGGTGTACCTACGCCGGAGTTGGTGTGCCTACGCCACGGTCGACGTACCTATGTCAGGGTTGATGTGCCTATGCCAAGTTCCGCCCAAGAGCAATTTTGGTAAGGTAGGCAATTTAGAATGAAGCTATTTAAGGAGAATAAGGATACAATTTAGGCACTCTTGGTTGTTTAGAAGCCCTCTATTCCCAGGTTTTAAGAGTTGTTGTTGTACCGTTGGTTTCCATTTGGAGAGAAATTGTCGGGTTGTTTTTTGAGAGTTTGGAGAGTTTGTGAGAAAGAGATTTGTGTGCATTTGATTGAGGGAGATTGATGGAAAGCTCGCATTGTACGAAGTGGATTACGGTGTACTGTAAGGGACGATTAGCTCGGGTTTTAGTTTTCTTTACTTGCTTATGTTGTTTCTTTAATATTTTTAATAGAAATCTCTGTATTCCATCATCATGCATGGTAGTTAAATCTTCTACATACTCCTATAACATATGATTTCTTCATTGTTTTATCCTTTGAGTTTTTCCCTAAACTTTTTTCTGTGCTTGAATTTTGATACTTTGATGTATTAACCTTCCGTTCTTCATGTACTTCTAATTTGGTCAATTAGAAAGTAAAAACTCCTTGTGATCTAGGACTTCTAACCGTTGATTAGAAAAACAAGTGAGTTAACACCCATTCACATAGTGCAATAAACATATTGCTAGTAGGATAGTGGAACCAAGATAGGGGACTATAGGATTTCGGGTAAACATTGTATGGTTAAACACTTTTAACTATAATAAGAGCTTTGAACGCTTCTTATAACATAGACAAAGGCTAAGGAAAACTTGTCCCTGGTTGGCAGCAACATGTGGGAAACTCATAAAAGAAATTGAGGAATCATTAAACAGGCGTCATAGAAGTATGAATCTTTCACCTCTAAGAAACTCCAATAACTTTAGTTTCATGTTTTTATTTCTGCATTAGAAATTTAGAACCCTTTCAACCTTTGCAACCATCTACACTTCAAATTAGACTTAGCGATTTAGTAAACTATAATTTTACATGTTAGAAAAATTGACAAGTTTTCTTGTGGAATCAATACATGGATTATAATTACATATATTACTTGATCAACACATATACTTTTGTGATTGTCGACTGTCTAACAGTAGATTCGGGCATCAGTGTACAAACTATATCTAAACTCTCCTCGTATTTTTATAAAAAAGTTTCAAAATGAAACTAAAAAATCTAGCCCCCATCATATTTGGCAGTCTTAACCAAAAAAGTCCAATTTAACCCTATTCACAACTTATATTAAATTTATTGACAGTACTTAATTTCAATAAAAATACTTATTAACCAAATTGCTTCAAAATCTCCCTAATACAAAAGACTCAAAAGTACATGAGAAGACCAAAGGTACACAAAAAAAAATAATAAAGAATGATGGATTCAAGGCATCATTTAACCCTTGACAAAATGAATGAAAAAAAGGATTCTTAAACCTAGCCTCATGTAGTTAAGACTAACAATGATGATGACCATGCAATCTCAAATTCTCCAAGTCTTAATAATTGTATCACATTTGGGCTTAAAATTTCATCTTTATGTATCTCAACTGAACTTTTTTTAATCAACTCATATCCATCCTTTCACTAACCATGCTCTTCTAAAACTAATTTTACCTAGAGGGATTTACATACATGCCACCCAAACATATTAATTTACTTATTAAATACCAAAACTTCTACGGTTACTTACCCGCCACCATAAAGTTTATAATATATCAGTTTTACCACTCTGCCTCTCTCTCATCATCTTCCATTTCTCTTCGTCGTCATGAACAAAAAATTGCACCAAAATCCTCCCCTGCACGAAAGAAGAAATGAAATGTGTAAATCTTGTTTTCTCTCCTAGGAGAAGGAAGAAAATCATGTGTCATACCATGCTCTTCTTCCCGCTATCTTCTCTGCCTTTGTGAAGGAAGAATATCATGTTTCCTGATTTCCTCTTTGCCTGCACAACACCTGCCACTTGACGGAGAAATGTCAACTCTCTCTTCTTTGCTAAGGGTTTAATCTACACAATCCCCTTCGATTAACCCAGTTCATATTCACGTGATACCTGTCTTCTTTTGTTGTGAAATACACAACTACAGTGTGAATAGATGCCCAGTAGGTGCTCAACCTTTTACTCATTTAGCATTTCTTACTGTTGTGGATGTGATGACTCAATATATCTTTTACTAATTACCAAATATTAAAAAAAATGCTTAGTTAACACTCCCAGCAATTATATATAGCCAGTCCTAGTCATCATCTAATATAGGACCTTTCTTCTAACTTGAGAATAACTTATCTTCTTTGATTAGATTCTCAGTTGTACTCTTTGGATTCAATCCTTATAATTCCATTATTAACTTATATTACATCAATAGCTCAAGAAAATGACAAAGACTTAGGGCCTGTTTGGCGCAGCTGCAGATTCTCAGCTTTTCAGCTGCAGCTGCGCTGCCCCTGGAAGCAGCTGTAGGGAAGCAGCTGTGGGGAAGTTGACTGTCTGTTTGGTGCAGCTGTGTGAAAAATATTGTGAGCCAGCTGTTAATGTAAAAATGACCAATCTGCCCCTGTCTGTTAAACTGTTTAAAATATTTCGATTTATTTGTATAAATATGGGCTTAATATACATAAAGTTTATAAAAAATATTATTTTTTACTTAATTAAATAAAATAAATGGTTTTCAACATTCACTTTATACACTTTTTTTTAAAAAAATGTAATTTGGAGCACAAATAGGTTTAAAATTTTTTTT